TTTGTCGATCCGTCTTTGAGGAACAAAACACCACCTCTCCACATTCTCCGTCTCTGTTTAGGCTTAGGCCACCTTGGAATAAGGGCATGTATACCCGCAGGTAGAAGTCTGGGCCAGCACGTCTGAAGCACTGTTTAGCAGCCCACACAATGGAATCATCAGTGGAGCTCATCTGGCACAAACCGTTTTCAACTGCAGTTCTTTCCAAATTATGCACATATTCACTTCTACACCCACATTCACCGACAATTCTTTACACGTTTGCCAGTAAACCTGAGGTTCTGATTGTCAGGAAAATGCGAAGAGCGCGGTCCGCCGCTGCGGGGGAGATCCCGAGTCTTCGCTTGCCCTAATTCACCAGATGGTCTGGGAGCCCAGCGACTGCGATCCACAACATCCTCTCCACAAACATTTTTAAACCTCATGCGAGTGTTTGTCACTGTCTCATTCTCACAGGTGAGGAATTCTATTACAACACGTTGCTTGTGACGAATATCTCATGCAGCAGTCACCTTAAACAAGAGCTAAGAGCATCGCTGGCGGAAATATGTTGAACAAAATTTGAATTCAAGCAAGAAGAATGATTCTACCAAATCTGTAAAGAGCAAAGACGAAGAAAAGCAATTGATTTTTTAAAAATCATGGGCATTACTTTTGTAGAGACCTTAAAAACGTGGTAAGGAACTCCAGAAATTTAAGACAGGTGAGTCGCTCCCGACCCAAGGAGCACCTGGACAGAGGTCTCTGTTCCTGGATTTGAGTCGTCAGCTCCCGGATGCGCGAGCATATCGCAAGTTATGGCACGCAACCACTCAACTGACGAAAGCCGTGTTATCGAAATCAATATTGGTGTTCAGTAAAAGGGAAAGATGTGATTAGTAAGTTGAGGATTTTTGCCTATTGGCCTATCAATCTAAAACGCTATCCATCATCAATCTAAAACGCTATCTTTTCCGTTTTTTATTCATTTTGAGTGTTAGAAGTAAATATATGTGAATTTTATAGTGCCTGTAAATATCTATTTCAATAATGAATGTTTTACAGTTTTGAATGCCTATTTTGCTTACACATTTCTACTGTTTTAGTGCTTTTAAATCTGCAACTTAGTGACGAGTTATAAAATAACAACTGTAATGAACGAATGAACGACTATACAGATAGCGAAATTATTTTATTGAAATGTAATTAATGATAGAGCAGCGTTTCGAAACACTGATAAAATTGTACCGACGCTTATTGAATCAGAAAACAGAAAATGAAATTACTGGCTGTGTTGGCAAATTTTCTATCGGGAGGATTAATTTCCCGCTTTCATAGAAGATACGGTGTTTTAATGCATAATGGGCTACAATAGTTAGTAATTAATATAGCATATACCAATAGCCTCGAATCCCCCGTCGAGCAGCGTGCATGCAGCCATTCGTTCGGCTTCGAGGTAAAAGCACTTATCGGCTGCCGACCAGTTTTAAACATAGATGTACTGACATAGATGTTTTTTGAACTCCATGTTTCGCGGGATTCACTCGTTTTGTTCTCGATGATTTTACACTATCCATACTTTATGCTCCTTTGTGGAAAATTCCCCCAATTACACTTTCCTAAAAGTAAAAGTATGAAATAATAACTGAGGACCCCACTGGCTGGGTTCGAACCAAACGGATAGAGAGGACAGAGACAGACAAGGAGAGAGAGAGGCAGAGAGAAACAGAGGCAGGCAGAGAGAGAGAGGCAAAGAGAGGCAGAGAGAGAGAGGCAGAGAGAGAGAGAGACAGAGAGAGAGAGCCAGAGAGAGAGGCAGAGAGAGAGAGAGCCAGAGAGAGAGAGGCAGAGAGAGAGAGGCAGAGAGAGAGAGAGAGGCAGAGAAAGAGAGAGGCAGAGAGAGAGAGGCAGAGAGAGAGAGGCAGAGAGAGAGGCAGAGAG